ATTCCTGGCCCCCAAGAACACTGCAATACAGAAGGCAGAAACATGCTGAGCAGGGACAACCCCACACTTGGCCTCTGCCCAGACAGGCTTCCCCACCTGGCTTCCCACAGGATTTTGGTGATACAGGCATCCCAAACACCAAAAGCCCAGGGCTACAACTCAGTTAGCAGAGCAGAGTGCCTGCTGAGGGAGAACACACCCAGACGGGCACAGGGCTCTTGGGGTCTGCTTCAAGACATACAGCACCAGAAGCATCCTTCCAGCAGGGCTGAGATGCTAGAGACAGCAGAAGCAGCAGCTGATGAAGAGACAGAAGGATCCAAAATTACTTGTTTTCAACTTCCTGCCCTTGACAGGACTTAACCTTGCTGCAAGGCAAGGGAGATCCCACCAGACGAGCAAGACCCCACAGGGCTGGGATGCAGAGCCAGGCCTCTCTGCCAAGACACGGAGCCAGCACCAAGACGGACTCACAACACACAGTGCATTGCACATCATTCCACAGTTCCCCCGTGCATCACCCCAGAGGCTCCTCTCTTGCTTCACACCGCCCTAGTCCCCCAGCAGGAGGGCAGACAGGCTGCTGGAAGCTGTTGTCCCTGCTGCCAGCTGCTGTGGGGTCATGCAAACTCAAGTGCTTTCAGGGACTCTGTTCAGGTCCCACAGAAACCACTGTGTCTTCTCCCAGGCCCAGGCCCAACAAGGGCAAACATCCCCAACACACGAGGACAGCACAGGGGGTCATGAGTCAGCTACTGAAAGGGGCCTGATGATGCCTCACACGGCATCATATTCTCATCCCTGCTGCATTTCGGTGCAGAGGCTTCACAAACCTTCCTCTGCTCCCAAAACTTGGGAAACTCTATGGTGCCCACCTCAGATCTTCCCACAGTGCATGCAGTCAGAAGTCAGACTGAGCAGGAACAGCACCTTCCTGCCTGCAGGAGACACAGCCCTTTCAAAGCCTCTTCCCCCATATTCTGTAGGAGGGAGACCTCCATGGTGTGCAGGGAGCAAGTACCTATCAGGACCTGCAGCAGTACAGGAGAGGCAAATGAGTTATTGCCCAGAAAGCAGAAACTCCACAAAACCATGACCCTTCCAGGATCCAGACATCCCAAGCACGCATTTCATAGGAGAGTGTTTCCGTAATGCAGCTCAACAAACTCAGCTGTAGGCTGGCACCATCTCTTTTCACCCAGCCACATAGTCGTGCTGCTTCCCTTGAGGAAGATGAATCAGTTCAGCTGGCTGATCTACAGAAACTTATTTACCTTCTTCAGCCTCAGGCACAGCCTTCCATTGGATCAACCAGATGAACCAACTCACACTGCAGCAAACATCAACAGATGCAGGACAAGGAGGCAAGGGGACAGCCGGAGTCTCCTGTTAGACCAGCTTGGCTGTTAACACAGAAATACTCCTTGAATAAGGAGATTGGTGAAGATCAAGCGTAACAGTTAGTGAAAAGCTACCAGCTTCTTTCATTAGAAGCCTTTTACCAGAGACTGGCAGGTTTCCTTCTGCTTTACCTTCTATGTATCCTGCTCCTAAAATAATACAGCAAGGTGTTTGTGAGAGTATTTGTAAATGTCAAGGCAGGGACAAGATCATGGCGTAAGCAACTACTACTGTGCTACACCATCCTGTGCTCAGAAGCACTGTGCTTTGTGTTGTGTAGGTGCATTTTCCTCCCATGATTTATTAATGGCTTGCTTCAGTGAGAGAGTTTGCAGAGGGCAGAACCACAGAGGTGTGAATGAAGAGCAGCATGAATGATGTGAGTCAGAGACCTTCCCTCAGAATTGACTTTATTATGCAAACCTTTTTTTTCTTTTTTTCACGAGGACAACCAAAAATGCATTTTCAAGAGGCACAGAAGGCATCTCGCAGACAGGCAGGGATGAGCTTGCCTTGGCTTTCGCAGTTGAGGAGGGCTATTCTGGCTGGAGAGGGAGCAGGTTGGCAGGCCGACCTTCTCTTGAGCCTTTCCAGAACAAGATGAAATTTTACAAAGACATCATCGATTCTGCAAATGTCCCATCCTTCGGTGGAGAAATCTGGCCTCACCTCCTTTGCCTCCTGCCTTGATCAGGCTGCAGTATCAACTCTCCCTCCTCAGTACTTGAGTCTGAGCCTCTTTCCAACTTCCTCAGCACACCTTGGAGCAACAAGCTTGGCTGCAGATCTCACTGTCAGGGTTTTCCATCCCCACAGATACCAGTCACTTGACCCCTTTCACTGCTTTGCCATGCTGAACTGGCCACTATGGTGGGAAATAAAACAGACACAAAGGCAGGCAGGTATCACGAGCAATGTGCCGACTGAAAGCATGCTGCAACTGGAGGTGTGTGCGTCTCCCCACATCCAATTTCCCTCAGGGACCTAGAAATGGCAGAAGAGCAGAAACTAAGTCACTGCTCCCTCCCCTCGTTTACAAGGAAAGCACAAAGAGCTCCCCTGTGCCTGGGGATCAGAGCAGGAAAAACAGTGGTCTCCAGGAAACAAGAGCTTTGCCAACTCTCATCTCCAGCCTGATCCCCAACTGATGCGAGGAGCAGACAGCTGAGCAGGTACTGTCCCCAAACCGCAGGGCAGAGGGGACTTCCCAAGGCCCAGCAGCCTCCATGCTGACCCCCTGTGCCTCTCCAAGTCTCCCCACACCAGCTGGAGAACCAGTGCTCAGGAACGATCAGAGCTTTAGGCAGGGGAGCTGGAGCGGGAGCCGGGTTCGCCGCATCCCTGCTGGGTTTCCTGAGGCGCTGCTGGCCCCTGGTGGCAGGCGGGCTCGGCCGCGGCGCTACCCCCAGCTCTGCCGCCCGGCGGGTGGGGACCCCGGGGCTGCTTCTCTGCAGAATGGCATGTGGATGTG